GGAAGTATGGTAGCTAGACTTTGATAACAAAATATCAAACTTGGGCTAAGAGTCCTCTATTCATACTCTCATTTAGGAGTGAGAACAATCCCATCTTCTTCCTTGTGTTACTACTCGATTGGCAGTGATGCTCCTGGATTAGAATTTAATTACCTGAATCCACACCTACAAGCCACATCCAGTCAACACCCTGCTTGTCTATGACCCACAAGAAATCTTTTACCTGTTAAACTGATGAAAAAAATCAATAATATTTTACAGGATGTGGAATTTATTTAAATTGAAATTTCATGTCCAGAACTAAAATTGGACTGGCACATAGCCATGCTCACCTGTTCACACCTCAGCCGCGGTTCTTTTTTGTGATACAGTTGATCTGTCGTGACACAGAACTTGTTCTCCAATGCCAAAAAAAATGCTTTTGGACTTTTGGCATAGCTTCTTGTTTTTGTTTTTTTTTTTTCATCATCAGACTTGGGGTTTAATGAATAGTATTGTCTAAGATGAAACCAAAGTAGGAGACAGGGTACCAGAAAATCCTTTCTACACAGACTGCATTTGTTACAGGTGGAGTCTGGCTGTCTGACACAAAAAAACCAGCAGGGCATCTGAAGTTCTTTGTCCTTCAGCACTCTGGGGTAACCTGCTGCACGTCCTTTGCACCACAGCACGGTGAGATTGCAGAGGGCACAATGGCTATAGCTCCATTACGTGACAGAGGGGTTTTCAAAACAGGAGAAACAGCTGTGTTTGTTCTTTAGTCTATAGTCAATCTCCTCTTAAGTATTCAAAGCTCTTTCTATAACAGGGATTCCTGTTGGTAACACATTTTTTTATGTGCCCTTGCTTTTTGCTTTTTTAATTGCTATCTATTTTCCCACATCAGTCTTCACCTATATTTTATTACTACCAAACAGTAACTGGTTTCTCCCTCAGGTGTAGTCCCCATAGTTCTTCCCCACATCACCACAAACCATCACCAAATTTCTGTGTTCTTCCCTCCCATTTTGACGCTTTTACCTCCCCTTTATCTCTTTACCTGAGATCTATTGTAGCTTACATATTTTGTCTTCCTCGTGACCATTGTTTGGTTTCACTATATTCCACATGTAAGTAAAACCATCCAATATTTATCTTTTTCCTGTTGACTTATTTCACTTACCATAATCCCTTCCATCCATGTTGACGCAAATGACATGTTTATCTTTTTTGATCACGGAGTAATCTTCCACTGTGTACATATGCCACAACTTGTTGATCTATTCATCTGTTCTGGGGCATCTGGGTTGTCTCCACATCAGGGCTACTATAAGTAGTGCTGCAATAAATATAGGGGTGCAGATTTCCTTTAGAAGTAGTGTTTCTGTGTCCTCTGGGTAGGTTCCTAGGAGTGGAATCACTGGATCATCCAATAGGCCCATTTTTGGTGTTCTGAGGAACCTCCACACAGCTTCCCCTAGTAGCTAGACCGTTCATTTCCACCAGCAGTTTCCTTTTCGTCCACACCCTCACCAGCATTGTTATTTCCAGTATTGGGAGCAGAGGACATTCTCACTGGTATGAGGTGGTATTTCATTGTGGTTTTAGTTGCATTTCCCTGATAGTTAGTGATGTTAAATACTTTTTCTATGCCTGTGTCCTGGATTCTCATCCAGGTACACCACCAGGGCAAACACAAGTTGAACCTAAGTTTATTAAAGTGGGTTCACTGCCTACAGCGAGCAATTTAGGAGGACTTCAGCTGCTGTGCCGGTCCTGAGACAGTGTCAGCAGATCTAAGCTAGATAGAAACATTAAGTGTGCAGAGGGGCTCGGCATGACCCTGGGGACCCATCCCTCCTCCTCCAGAGTCGTAAGTGTCTTAAGAGTGTGGACTTTCGGGGTGAGATCCTGGATTCCATCCTTGGTGCCAATACCAATGACCCATGACTTCTGACACTATGACAGACTGAGAGGTGGCAACGGAGAAGGCTGATGCCTAGACTGGAAGCCGGAAAAGTTTCCACCCTGACTCTGCCACTCACTAGCTGGTCCCTGGGGGACATTACTCAACCTCCACGAGGCTCTGCTTCCTCATCTGCAATAAGGTGGAAAAGGATCCTGATTCCATTGGATTTGGTGAGGATGACATGGCTTGATATGGCTGCAACAGTGCCAGGGAGCCTTTTGTTTGCTCCTGACCCCCCCTCAGGGTAAGGACCCCAGGGACATTTCCTTGCCTTCTGAATTCTGTACCAGCCTGTTTCCTTTGTACCAGCCTGCATCTCCTGCTTCAGATTATTTTCACTAATGGTGGTCACAGTGGCTTCTCTCTTGCCAATGTGCCGTCTTCCTCAGGCCAAACCATGCCAACTTTTCATTTTCTTGTGAGATGCTCGCACTTGCTATTTCCAGGGCTGAGCAGGGACTCAGTACAGCACAGTTGACGTTCCCTTCCAAAGCCCTTGCCAGATGTAAGCATGAAAGAGAAGACAATTTGGAGGAGTCATTTTGAGCAGGCAATAGGAATTCACAGGAAACAGGTCTTTTTGAGATTGTTGAAATGTATGAATGGTGGAACTCACCACCTCCTAAGCAGGCTGTCTTATTTACTTTCTTCCATTTTCCTGCTGCTACCCATATACAGCACAAGCAGGAGGGCTCAATATACATGAACAGAACACAATGAATGAATGAGAGTGGGAACCACTGTTTGAGATGAGAATATGAAGTCGTACCACCTATTTATTTTGCTATTTTAACAATAGCGGCAGGTGCTTAGTTTGAATGACATATCAGCATCTCTTTCCTCTGAGAGAAGCAGCCCCTGCTCCCACACGGGCATGCAATCTTACAGGGTCCAGGCCCCTGGATGACTGGCCCAGTTGGAATACACCGAATAAATCACAGTGGAAAACAATAAAGACCCAAAGGCACCTTTGTCTGCAGTTGTGACACAAGGCACCCTGGCAGTCACCCCTCCCCACCACACGCCTGTCCTTTCTTGCTGCCCTTGTCCCTACACCTACAAGTGTTTGGGGGACCCACATATCATGGAAATTGGTCTGATAAGCAAATGTGACAGACATCTTCCTGTCACCATCTCCTCTTAACCAAGTGCCTGAGGACACTTGTGCAGGTAGCCCTACAAGAAAGGCTCTGATTAAAGACTCCTATTCACTACATAACACTTACTATCTCGGAAAACCCACAGCCCGCCCTCCCATGTCTGCCCACAGCCAGGGCTGACTGCAAGCCTCACTTCAATCACTGGCAGCAAGTCTGCGCGTCCATCTCAGGCCCTCCTCTGCTCCAGGCTGCTGCTCCCAAACCGGAGATGGCGCCATCTGCTGACAGCATCGTGACACTACAACAAAGTTCTTAAGTTTTTGGTTGTTTCTTTTTAAATATTGCTACATTGTATCATGTATGTCAGGCGTACATCATTGAAAATCAACATGAATATACACTACATTTCCAACGCAAAAATCCAGTTTTACCTTTCCTCATACCATTTGTCCCGCTTTATCTACCTATTTCCAATGTATCTTCTGATAAAGGTCTGTACCGTCCAAAATTTTTAAACTTCATCAGTTTTTTGTCTCAATGTAAAATGCACCTTTTCTTCCATTTCTGACACCATGCATCCTGGCGGCCACCTTGCCCCACCCGAGCCCCATCCTTTCAACGCCTCACACCAAACGTGAGGATGCTACACTTTAGGAAACTTGGTCTATGTGACAAGCAACCCGTCACTGTCCTGTCTTAACAACAGCACCTAAAATCTCCCCAGGGCTGGTTCAAGTAGCCCTACAAGAAAATTCTGACAGATTCCTAGTCACTACATAACACTGATTATTTTCTTTTTAACCTACAGCTTGTCCTCCCCATGACAAAGACAGTGATGGCCGCAGACAGGAGACTGCAAGCCTCACTTGTTGAATCACCAGCAGCACTTCTGGGCTCCTCTATCTCATCCCTCTTCTGCAAGAAGCTGCAGCTCTCAGTTAGTGATGGCGCCATCTGCTGGCAGCAAATTGACACTGCACAATAAAATGTTTTGGCGTTTTAGGTTTTTCCCTTTTAAATTGAGTAATAATCTTAAGTTTCAAGTATGCATCACAGAGAATCTGTGAGTATACAATACATGGAGCTCATGCTAAAATTTGAATCTACCCTTTCCTATACCATTATCTGGACTAAAACACTGCCTTAACCAGATCCTTCCGGTAATAATTGGCTATCCAGTCCAAAATCTTAAATTCTGTATTTCATGTTTTCTGTTTATACCATGTATGAATGTAAGCATACTGTTTCTATGACTTATTTTACTGAGCATAATACACTTCAGATCCATCCATATACTTGTAAGGCAAGATCATGTTTTAGAGCTGTATGGTATTCCACTTAGATAAACCACCTCTAGTCATTCGACTATAGGAGCACTAAAGTAGTATACAGCTCTTGGCTATTATAAATAATGCTACAATGAACTTATGGTGACTACATCTCTTCAAACTGCCAAATGCATAAACCCAAAATATTGAGGATACTAGCTAACCTCTGATTAGTTTCCTAAACACCAGAAGTTGTGTTCAGTTCCGTACTCAGGCTCTCATAGACTAGGAACAGTTCTATCATTTTTCTCTGATTTCATTACTTTTGCAAAAACATTCCTGGTTTAGAACTCAACCACAGAGCTCATGACCGACTGGTCCAGTCAACTACATTTTTTTAATATTTGACATGTAAATAGTTGAGAAAAAAATTATCATGTGATAATTCAAATGTCATGTCCAAGAATAGTTGTATTGGCACATAGCGAGGCTCATTTGTTTATACGTCTTCTTGGCTGTTTTGTGCTTTATAGTTGATTAGTTGTGACACATAACTTGGTCTCTTTAAATGCCTGAAACATTTAGAAACTGGCTGTTCTCAGATAGTTTTTGGACTCCCAACCTAGAATCTCATCCAGATATACTACTTGGGAAACACAAATTGAACCTCAGTTCTATAAAGTAGGTATAAAACTTCATAAAACTTTCATAAGATTATACCTACATGTATAACATCTTCAGTTACTATACAGAAGGGGTTCTATGAACTTGTCCCTTCCTCTGTCCAGAATCATGGAGTGTGGGCTTCAGGGCTAAGGTCCTGGATTCCATCCTTGGTGCCAATACTAATGACCAATGACTGCTGACACTGTGATGCAGTGAGGGGTGGAACAACAGATGGAGGCTGATGCTTACACCTGAAGACAAGAGTTTCCATGCTGACTCCCCAATTCAACAGCTGGTTAGTTGAAGAAATTACTTACCCTCTCTTAACTTTCTGCTTTGAAATCTGCAATAGGGTTGGAAAAGAACCCTAATTTTATTGGATGTGGTGAGGATGAAATGACATGATGGATATAAGGAATTAAAGCAATGCCAACTAAGCCCTGTGTTTTTACTCTTGATTTTCTTCTCAGTGAGGACAAAACCAAAGCCCTTTTGAACTCTAACTGCCCTGTCTGCACCTTCAGCTTCAAACTCTTCCCTCACTGCACAGTGGCCATAGGCCTTTCTCTTTCAAATCATGCCAACTTTTCATGTTTCCAGTGAATCCGGGGCCCACCACATGACTTTTCTCTGAAACACAGCACAACATATGATGTCATCTTCCGAAACCTTTGACAAATGTATACATGACTTTAAAAGATGTGACGAGGCATTTGAGTAGGCAGTGGAAAAATAATTAAAATCAAGATCCTTCTGAGTGTTATGATGTATGCATGGCTCAGGCATGAAGTAACCCCCTTCAGTAACTCACTTTCTCTTTACCTTTCCTTTTACTTCTATCTCCACTTCCCAGGCCTACAAGCTCGATAAGTGTCAGGCCTAAAAGGACAACATTTATTAAATATATACAGTGAAAAAACAAATAAATGGTAAAGCAGAAATCTGGCAGGTGTGGAGAAGATGGAGCAGTACAACCTGTTTATTTTGCTCTTGTATCAAAAGTACAAGTACTTAGTTTTGAGTAGCTGTTTGTGTCTGCTTAGTGCCTCTCTACTGAGAGGCGCATCCCTCCTCCCACACCTGGACACACTCCCATCTTACAGGACCAGGACCCGGCTGATGGGCTCAGTTGAAATCAAATATGTCACCCCTAATTCTCCCCCCTCTGTACTAATCAATTCCACCTTTTCTCTTAATCTGCACTGAAAGCCAAATTCCAGACCATGTTGCATGAAGTGTTAACACTGGAGACTCTGGACAGCCTTTTTCTCCATCCACACTGTGAAGAAAGTCAGTTTATAAAGAGAATGAAGCTAAAAGTGAGAAGCCACACTGGAGAGAGGGTCTGGATGGCGCCTGAGTCCCATTGCCCTGGACACCTGCCAGCCCCTGCAGCCTTGACTGCTCCTTGGCTTTTGTTATGCGACATCATGCAGTGTCCTTTCAATGAAATCAACTGTGACTACACTAACTCAGCTAGGGGCTGCCTACTGCAATGTTCCTTTCGCTCACTGCTCAGTAAGCCAGCTACAGACTTCACATTTACAGACAGATATCCTTTATTTACCTATCATTCTTTAAGCAATTACAAATCTACTTTTCAAGGAGGAAAGCTTGCCTTTACTGAGGATATCTTCATCACTTTACTGCAACTCCCAAACAAGAATGTTCCACAAAACAGCAGCACACACTTTGCTTTGTTTTTTTAAGGTGATTTCTCTTGTAATGCTGGCACACTGTCTGCCCCCATGTGTGTAAAGTGAAATCACTGCCTCACATTTCTTAAGAGATAAAGGAGTCAAGTGTTTACACAACTTCTGGTTACTTCCTTTAAGACTGTCCAGATACAAATGAACTAACATATAACAACCTTTAATATAGGAAAAAAAGAAAAGCACAAAGAAAAAGAAATGCTCTTCATGGTCTTTCATTCATTTCATCAATGAGCACACACAAGGCAGCATCTTTCTCTATAATCTGGTCTCTCCTGTGACCTGAACTTTCCCTCTGTTGTTCATTCTGTCCAGTGCAATTGTTGCGATCCTCAGCATCCATCGGTTCAGTCTTTACTCTCATCCCTGCTTCTGAGTGGGGCAAATCATCAGGCAAAGAAGCCAAGCAATTCTGAATCATCTCAATCACTCTTTCCAGATGCTTCTGAAACCTTTCGGCTGTTTCAAGACGTTGTCGTTTCTGCACCTCCATCATGACTCTCAGGGTCTCTCTGGCTTGGTGGGGCCGGTATTCATTTATGAGATGATGCACATGGACAAAAAGCAGCTTCAGATCTTCTAACTTCTCTTCTCGCTTTATACTTCCCGGACTCCGTATCAAGATATCTAAGAGGTCTAGGAAATTAATGAGGATGGACATATTGAGTTTTCTCAGTTCTTTTTTGTGATCAAACTGCATAGGATGAAGTCGTTCAATGCCCTGACTTTCCAAGGGACGGATGATAAGATCATCACATTGGAACTGGTTGCCAAACATCATATAACTGTCTTTTATAGGAGGCGGTGGCTTGGGAGCGAGGCCTTCCTGAATATTCTCGTCTGTATACTCCTTGATGTACTGCATTGGAGGGGGTGGAAGGGCACTCACTTGCTGTGGCTCACCCATTGTGGAAGATGGAGAACCTACAGAAACAAACCAGAGATTAGAGTGGAGCTGCAAGACCAACCTGTCACACTAGGTCACCACAGGCAAGCTTGCTTATTTTTCTGCGGCCTGGACCCAAGACAAAATGATCTCCTTAGTTACACTAGAGAAAAGGAGTCATTCTTTTCTAAGTAGTTAATGTACCTTCATCCATCCAATTACTTTTCCTTACCTACTTAATTCTTTCATCAGACCAAAAACTATTCAACAACATCCTTCATCTGTAAAGAAAATCTCCTGGACACATCCATGACTGGTTAACCCCATTTTCTACTTCCCTGTCTAGTCAAACTACGTAGACACCTGTCTCCCCATCTCAAACGCCACACGCACAAGTATGAGATAATGCCTTATGTTACAGACTGATTCCCAAAAGCAAACACTTATTTAAAACACTAGTAAATATGACAAAATTAACCTTGCTATTCTCCAGACAGCTGATATCTGAAACCAGAAAATGATGACACAAACCAAATATATCGGCCAAATGACTCTCATAGGGCCTATTCTTTTGTAATCATGGTTATTGGCTCACATATCCTTTTTTTTGGCAACATTCTCTGTCTTTACTTAAGGACACATAACACATCCACTACAGAATTTTTAAACTCACTTTAAGCTTAGCTGTATCATAAAATGAGAAGATTCAAAGTGGTTATTTGGACTGATCTTGTCACGTTTTCAAGATGTCACACCCCAGGGGCCTTCTTACACCAAACCTGTGAAGTCTCCAGGCAACTGTGAGGCATAGTCCGCTGATGAGTCAGTGAGGCAGCCACCATGGGCATATGTTCCTGTGACAATGGTCATAGTCCACAGCTCAGAGTCTTCTGCTATTCATTTCTGTCATTATCCATTCTGGCCTCAAACTTCTACCTCCACATAAACTACTCATCCAGGTCATCAACCATCGCCACATAACCAAATCCCACAGATCCCTTTCTGAGGAGATCTTAATCTCTTAGGAGCATCAGCAGCGTTTTCCTCCTTTCCACACACTTCCCCTTCTCCCTCAGTTCTGGAACCTGTACATCTATGTTTTCTTACTATCTCACTGGCCATTTGGTCCCCTTTACTGCCTTCTTCTTTAGCCACATTTTAATGTCATGTGACTTGGAAAGTTGTTCTAATTAGGGAATCACAAACTCAAAAACCAAAAGGAAAAGGCAGGCACCTTGTGATGAAAACCCTCTAGGACAGGATTAAAGCATATGCGCACAGACCTTAAAGCCTCCAGGGAAAAGCAGTCATGTGGGGATGCAGGTTCACAGTTGCTCAGTTTCTTGATTTTTTCAAGAGCAAATACAAATTAATGTTAAATCGTTCAAATTTGAAATACTAGCTAATGAATTTCAGAAACTGACAAGCAGTATGTAGTGAGCAAGAATTTATCTACAATAATTTGGGAAAGATCTACAGGCCACCAGTTCTAGACCTCTGATTTATACTTTCTCCTTTGGGCATCTCAATTCTTTCCTAATGTCATTTCTATCCTTTGTTCACTCGTTCTCAACCAGGGGCAATTTTTCCCAGCAGGAAGCACACATTACAACAGGGGTGGTGGGGTGGGGGTGGGGGGAAGCTACTGGAATCTAATGGATAGAGGCTGGGGACAGTGTCCCCCAAACTCCCAACCAGCATAAAATGTCTATATACTCTGCCAAGATAGAGAAATGCTGGTTTGCATTTCTGACTCTGTAGCTCCAGTCCAGAATGCCTCTGAGATCCCTCTGGATGTCTCATATGGCATTCACTTGAAACAAATTTCATTTTATGCTCTGATTCCATCTACTACACACACAAAACCTATAGCAAAATGATCCTATTTCCCAATGAGTGTTTCAAGCCAGAAACCTCAACATAAACTTAATCCTCCAGTTTCATCAACCTCCCCTTGATTCCACATCTTCCAGATCTCAAAATCTCAGTTCTGACCAAGCCACTATTCCCTCTTACCTAGAATACAATGGTTTCCCCAGGATCTTTCTGCTTTCTGCTTGCCTCATACAACGAGAATCCAGGGAAAATGATTATGATGATAGGTAACGTCTGAGTGTGCATTATAAGCTAGGCACTGTTCTATACACTTTCATGGTTGGTAGGAAAAAGCACTTTTTGCAGTTAGAGTTGAGACAATATGGCTCACAAAAGTTGAATCACTCGAGTAAAGTTACACAGTACATAGCAAAGAAAGAGATCCAGGGCCTAAACTCTCACATACTACACTACACTGTCTTTCAAGGATAAACAAGAAGCACAGCCTCCATTCTAGTGTTGCTTACAATCTATCATGGAAAGCTACAAAAGATAACTAACTACAAGGCTATTACCAAAAATCAATCTAAAAATTTCAAACAGGAATCTACATCATAAGCAAAATTAAGACAATCCCATTTTTCTTTTTTATTATAACATGTAAATTTCAGGTGTACATCATTAAAAGTTGACTTCTATACAAATTACATTAGGTTTACCATTAAAAGTCCAATTCTGGGCCCTCCCTGATTGCACAATGCGTTAAAACACAGCACTGCGAAGCTGTCGCAGGCATGGCAGACCTCTCTTGACCCACCAGCTGCTCCCCTCAGCAGTGTATTTCATTATCTACCTGTTCTGTTCCCCACTCTGTCTCTGGTGAATCCTCTCACCACCACCCCCCCACACACCTCTGGCCTATACCCCAGTTCTGTATGCATAAATATTCTCTTTTTTTTAGTCCAATTCTACATTTCATCATACAACTGTCTCTTTTTACCCCAACTGTGAAACCCCTTTCCCTTCCAATAAACACTAGTAGGTGTTACAGTCCAAAAGTTCATAGATTTTTGTTTATGTATTTCATCTGTTCCTCTCTGTATCATGAGTGAAATCACATGGCGTTTAACTTTCTCTGACTTATTTCACTAAGCATAATACTCTCCAGGTCTACCTATTACTGCATATTGCAAACTGCAGGATTCCATCTTTCGATAGCTACATAGTATTCCAGTGTTAGTACACATAGATAGATACACCACTCTTCTTTATTCATTTGTCTGTTGATGGGCACTTAGGTTGTTGCCAGCTCTGGGTTATCTTAAGTTATGCTGCCTTAAATATAAAGGTGCATATAATCTCTTAAAATTAGTGTTCTGAGGGCATTTGGGGGGTAAATACTCAAAAATGGGCAATCCTATTTTTCAACAGAAAAATATTTGTAAGATAAAGGGCAGATATTATAGATATTGTTTATTTTGATTTGTTAACTGTACCTCAAAAAATGATTAGGAAGCTCTATCCTCAGTAAAGACACATTAAGTTTTTTTAAAAAACTCCTTATTAATAGAAAAAAGCAAGATGATGCAAATGCAGATGCTGAGTAAAGGTGGGAAAACAGACTTAGACTAATATATTTTTATCAGCAAATTTTCAAAAGGACTCTTCTAACAGACCACCAAGATTCCAAACAGGCCATCATTCAACATACATTGTAATACCTTCTTTGTGGGTGGTTCTAGATTCCAGAAGAGGCAATTCTCTCCCTCTGTTTCTTCAGAGAGGCCATCCCAATTTTAGAAGCAGGCTCTTAGCTATTCTGGCCCTACAGAAAGACCTGGAGAGGAACACCCACTCACCTAGCTCCCACAGAAGCCACCAACATGATCATCACGTAACACTTTTAGGTGGCAGAACAGCACCACCCAAGAGATTACAGACACAACCAAAAGGAAAAGAAACAAATATATATTTGAAATTTAATTTGGCAGTATCAAAATTCTATTTAATTTTACAATTCTGCTTATATCGCTTTTTAAAATTAGGTTAATAGGCACAGATTCACATCTCTTCAAATAAGGTTACCACACCACACACTACCAAAGTACCAGTAATCCTTCACTATAGTCCACAGGGACTATTCCTCTATCGTTTGCTCTTAGCCTCTTCCCCCAGTATCAAAATTCTAAACACTGATATTCTTTGAATCAAAAATTCTATGTCTTTGAAGTTTATCCTACAAAAATACTGGTACAGTTACACAGAAATGTACAAAAAAAGATTCTTAATGCAGCAATATTTGAAAAGAGTTGGGAAAGTTGGAGATAATTCATGGTAAAATATGGATGGATAACATAAAACGTCCACAGAGTATAATACAGGTATGAAAAAAGAGGCGGAAATGTGTGTGGGGGGGTGTGGAGAGTATAAACACTATGTACTGTTTCAATTACACATCTTTACAACTTACTGAGCTAGCAGTATGTGGTAATGCTGTGCAGGGATGGAAGCTCCCAAACAGCCTTGGCAATCACAAGGGTAAACAACATCCTCTACAGACTGCTTTTCACTTTCAGTGCCATCGTCAACAAAAAATATGAGGCAGTCAACACCACTGTAAAGCCCACTCTGTGTTAGGCCGGTCTATCCAACTTCAGACTAGTGATGGTGCTCTAGGCACAGCAAAGGTAGGCTGCAGTAAGCTATGACGTTCTTTAGGTTGGGCATATTAAATGATTTCTGACTTGCAATATTTTTAACTTATGACAGCATTATCAAAAGTATCGCAAGGCCCTCCCCGGTGGTGCAGCGGGCTTTATAAAGCACAGCACTGCAAGCTAAGCAAACTGCAGCCTGCGAGTGGAATCCCCAGCCCCCGAGGTGACCCGCATGGCACGAGGTGACCCACATGGCACGAAAGACCCTCCTGACTCGCCTGCTGCTCCCCTCAGCAGTGTGCTTCGTCCATCTGCGTGTTCTGCTCCCCACTCTGTCTCTGATGAAGCCTCTCGCAGCCCCTAAGCCTCTGGCCTGTACCCCAGTTCTGTGTGCATAAATAAATAAATCTTAAAAAAAAAATTTTTAACATAAATGCAGGCGTATGAGTTTCATGAACGGTATAAAAAACACTACATTCTTCACCCAGATTCTCCAAATGTTAACATTTGTCCTTCTTTGCCTGACTGGTCTTTCATTGCCCAAATACTTCCCTGCTGATCCTCAAAGAAACAATGTTGGCTCATAATTAGCAAAATCAGAGAATCGTCTTTTAACCTGGCTCTTCAAAACAAAATTTAACAAACACTCTCCCCCCTCACTCCCCTCCAACTTTCTGTGCACTCAAGTCTTGTGAGGTGGGGGCTCCACCTGCATTCCTCTATTTGTAATCTTCCCGGGGCCAAAAGCCTCCTCTCACTTAATCTTCACAACAAGTCTACGAGCTAACAAACGCACGGTCGATTTCCTTTTAAGAGATGCGTATCCCAAGTCTACTTGATCCTGGCATATATGCGTCAGATCAAGAAATAAACCGGTGACCCCTTTTAGCTTTCCCGTACAGACGCTTTCAAAGCCGCAGCTTATGAAATTTTAAGCGTACAAAGGAGACTTCACATATTACGAAAAATTATGTTTACCTCCCTACCAACTCTCCAGACTGTACGTTCCGAAAGTGGTCCTTCGAGGCCGACTCGGCCTCACCGTCCACCTACCTTCTAGCCCCGCTCCTCCAGGCGGGCTTCTGCCAGGGTCCCAGCCGAGGGACGCACAGTCCGTCTTCCGAGACTAGGGCCCCTGCAGATGACTCCGCCGAACGACTCCCTCAGCCCTGTCAGCAGATTTCACTACTAGCCTGAAGTAGAAGAGTCCGAGCCGAGCCGAGGGCGCCCAACTCTCACTACCCGCGTCCGCCACGCCTCCCTCACTCAGGTGCCCACGCCCACCGGGCCCCGAGCCGCGGGCAGGCGCCGGGAGGCGGCGGGCACACAAGGCGCCGGTTCCTCCGACCCCAGCGAGCCCCGGGGACGCCGCCAGGTCCCGAAAGACAGATGGGCGCCGGCAGGAGCCCCAGTCGTCGCCGCCCACTCACCTCAGCACTAGGTTTACAGTAGCGCCGCCTCGGCTACCGCAGCCAAACCCGACTTCCGGCCGCCTCCTTCTCCAGGAAGAAGCGCCTGAGGCCGGTTCTGAATTGGCTAAAAGAGCTGTCCGTTAAAGGGTTCTTGTCCCGCCTCTGGACTACGGCTCGTCACTACGCCTGCGCAATCTTCCCACCCGGCTCTTAGAGATGTAGTAGTGGGCGGGGCTTGCAGGTGGGGGCGGGTCTCTGTGTAGTATCCCTAAGTAAACAGGGAGGATGATGGCTCCTGGCCTTTTTTAGACTTTTTCTTAAATGAACTGTGTCAGCCGTATGCACTACATCAAAGCTGGAAAATATATATAAGCAGCTTTTTTTTTTCCAATTAAATACACTCTAACCTCACTGTCAAAAATAACAGAAAGATGGCATAGTTACAGACTTAAAAGAGCAAGTTGTTTACCTACTCTTATTTTATCTTTTTGTAAATCATTTATGCACAATATTTCAGTAGCTGTTATATCGTCACTTCTATCAAAGGATATACACACAATAATGATAATGCTGTTTACCAGATATTTTTCATGTGAGGAAGATTTGGTCAATGCCAGGGTCTGAATGTCACTTGCCCTAGTCTAAAGATAAGAAAACTAGACGCAAGTCAGTTATGGATGTATCTCAAATAACACAATTCATCCAAAGCAGTAATATTTAAACCTATGCCTGATTCCAAGATCTTACTCTTAATTGCATCACAGGCTGGGCTACAACTAAAACTTAACACTAATCCCCAAAAGGTAGTAGAAGTTGTTTTAGGTAAATGTAAAAGAAATTTTTTTTGAAAACAAGACTTTTAAAAAATATATGATAAAATGTACTGTAGATGCCTTTTGAACATTACTTCATAGGAAATATTTGTGAATGTAGTTGAGAATGAGTAATGTGTTTCAATTTCTGTTTCTTCAGATTCTACTTGTTTTTATTTTCAGTTAGAAATTCTGAGATGTCTATTATATATCCAAGCAACAGATTACCAATTTTTAAAAGATTTATTTATTTATGCATACAAGAACTGGGGTGAAGGCCAGAGGTGCAAGGGGGTAGAGGGGATGATGAGAGGATTCACCAGACAAGGGGGAGCAGAAGAGGAGAATCTACCAAAATACACTGCTAAGGGGAGCAGAAGGAGAGAGAGGAGAAGTCTGCTGTGCCATGTGGGTCACCTCACTGGCCTGGGATCGAACTAGTGCTGCCATGGCTCCCAAAAGCTTGGCAGTGCGGTGTCTTTAACCCCTGTGCCATCAGGAAGACCCCCAGATTACTAATTTTTTTTAAATTCAAATTTAAAGGGTTTTTTTTTTTGGAAGTTATTTCAATAAGAAATGTTTCAAATTCTTAGGGGGAAATTACAGGGTCTTAAAAAATAAAATCAAAGTGGTGGTGGGTTGGAGCACTGCACTGTGAAGCTAAGCCAAACTGTGGCCACTTTAGTGCCAGTTCCATCCCTGCCCCGGAGGTGACCCACATGGCGCGGCAGACCTCTCCTGTCTCACCCGCTGCTCCCCTCAGCAGTGTACTTTGTTGATCTGCCTGTTATGCTCCCCAATCTGTTTCTGGTGCATCCTCTCACCACTCCTGCACCTCTGGTCTGTACCCCATTTCTGTATGCATAAATCAATAAAATCTTTAAAAACAAATAAATAAAATGAAATCTTTGTAACCATAAAATGCCAATTGAACAGAGACAGAATTGAGTCTATTATGCACAACTTATTGTTGGAAAGCAAGCAATCTGGGAGAACAGATATATTTTTTATTTAAAAGCTAGTTCTAACATTTCATTTCAAATTAGCTTTTTTTTTTTTTTTTTAGTGAACTAAACAAACACAGTCAGTCAAAAGCAAACCTCCTACCATCGCATCCTATCACACACAGTCAGTGCCCTGATCTTCATCATGTCCTCAGAGTCTGCTGCCTCCTTGGTCATCTTGACTGAGGTACACCCTGTTTTCCTGGGCCTGGGAAAACATCTTTGTTCGATGGCATCAATGTCTGATATTTCTTTAGTTGTCACTGGGGCAGAATTCTCAGTTCGAAAGAAGAGTTTGACTTCAAAGGAAATGGATTATTAATCACATGGTATTTGCATGTAGCCTATACTGTGTGTGTATGTGTATATTCCTATGTTTAGCATGGTGCCCTTCCCTTCCTCCCTAGCCCCAATCAGAATTTTTTAATAATATAACAGCTTATTTTTACATCATTTTGTACATTTTTTTAAATCTCAATTGTAATCCCCATGGGTTTCCCATCACCGAGTCACCCATGTGCCATCACCATAGTCCCGTGCACTTCCCTCCCAGAGTTTTATTTTAAATTGGGGCTTCCCTGGTGGTGCAAGGAGTTAAACCACAGCACTATGACGCTATCACCAGTCAGATTCCCAGCCAGGGAGGTGACCCACATGGCGAGCAGACCTCTCTTGTCTCTCGACAGCTCTCAGTAGTATATTTCAGTTGATCTGCCTGTTTTGCTTCCCACTCTGTCTCTGGTGAATCCTCTCACCATCCACACCTCTGGTCTGTAAGTCAGCTCTTATATTCATAAATAAATAAATATTTTTTTTAAGTGAAGAGGTTAATTGGAGACTTTTTCTCAGAATCTTCTTATCTTTTACATGTAAAATGCTCTTGCAAACACTTACACATCCAGTGTCAACAATTAGAGACCCATAGGCATCATCACTTCAGCTGTAAATATTTCAGCAAAAATTCATTTGAAAATGGTTATGAACTTTTTCCCACTTAATAAATGTCCATTGAATATCTGCCATTTTCAGGCACTGTTCTAAGGACTAAGAATTTAGAAGTGAGTGAAACAAAGACTCTGTACTCAGGAACTTTGCATAGAAAGAAAAATAACCAAAATGAGTAAATGCGTGTATAAGATGTTATCTATCAATTATTTTGTCTGTCTTACTACTTCATTGGTAATCAGATTTATAAACAATACTCTTTGAACTCTTACTGGTCAATGAAACTGTGTCTCTATTTGTTTGCCAGTCTAGTCAGGAGAAATGGAAACTAGATATTAAATATTCATATCTAATCCTACTTCTTTCTATGAAATGATTTTATCAGTTCATACATATATTTCAAACAAGGCATTTTGGATGGGAGTCACTATTAATGCTTTGTGTCCTGAAGTCTGCTTTAGAGTTGTAACTCATCATCATTTTCACTGTTGTTGACTCCTGGTACAAAGGAGCTTATCATTAACAATCCCAACAACGAACCAGTCAGTGTGCCACAGAACCCTTCTGTCTTACCTGCTACACCTCACCACAGCAGGAGGGGGCAGCATTAACCCTGCTATAGAGAACTCCCCCACTACACACTTTCATCTATTGTAGAAAATCTGATGTCCCACATAGGAGTTTCCATTGAGGGACAATGCCAGTTATCTCTTGCAAATTGAATAACTTTAAAAAAAAAAAAAGTCTGGCAAGCCATTTTGAATTATTTTGGTGGCTGTTTCTGTAGTTAAGTGTGCATAAACACTATTATGTGGAATTTCTCAAAAAAAAAAAAAAAAAGGTAACCATGCCATTACCATATCTGTCTGTAAATCATCATAAAATCTGCCCATGGTACTTGTTGTTTTACTTCCTACACACTTCCAGTAGAATCTGGAAATATTTTGAACACATTCAAAGTACATCTCTTAAGTTTCATCTCAGATGTGACCTCCAAAAGGTTTCTCCAAGTTCACCAGCTGACACATGATTAACAGAGTCCAGATTTTACTCTGGGGTTCATATTTGGTGTTGTACATCCTCTAGGGTTCATATTTCGTGTTGTATATTCTCTAGGTTTTTAATAAATATCTAATGGCAAGTATCCACAGTATAGGTCATACAGAGTAGCTTTACTGCCCTAAAAACCCTCTGGGATCCATCTATTCATTCTTCTCTCCTCCCAAGCCTCTGGCAACCACTGACCTTTTTAGGTTTCAGTCCTGCCTTTTAAAGAGTGGTAGGTAATTGGAATCATGTAGCCTCTTCAGACTGATGACTTTCACTTAGTAATATATATTTAAATCTCTTCCATTTATTTCATGATTTCTTTTTCTCATTTCTTTCCATGACTGAATAATGTTCTATTGTCTGGATGAGCCACAGCTTACTAATCCACTTACCTACATCTTAAGGACATCTTGGTTGCTTTCAAGACTTGGCAATTATGACATCCATACACAGGTAAGTGTGAATATAAGTTTTCAGCTTCTTTGGATAAATACCAAGGAATGAAATTGATGAATCATGGGGTAGTGATAGGTTTAGTTTTATAAGAAATTACCAAACTGTCTTCTACAGTAGATTTATGGTTTTACACTCCAATCAGCAATGAATGAATATATCTCTAGCTCTACATCCTTGTCAGCACTTGGGGATGTCAGCATTTTGGATTTTAGCCACTTTAACAGGTGTACAGTACTGGCTCCCAGAAGTAGATTTTGTAGGACATGTTGGTAGAGGAGTACCCTGAAGACCAGTACTGTGGACATGAAGGGATGCCCAAAAAGAGGCTAAGCTGCAATACAGCCCCACAGGAGGGTCTTGGAGTAGAAGGGACCTTCAGAGTTGGCAGGCCTTTGGCAAATGTGACCAGGCCTTCGCTCCCCACATCAATCAGCCCTTATCTGGGGCTCTAGGAAGACCATTACCTTGGGCAAGGGGCCCTCTGAGATCAAGGCACCTTCCAAAGGTATTACCTGCTGAAGGCAACAACTCTAGCTGGGGCCACACCTCCTTTATTGAAAGAATATCCACTTCAGATGGATACTTCAAAGGAAAGATGTCTTTCAAAACATCCTCTCCAAGATAATGTGAAATGAAATAAATCAGAGGGTGAAAGGCATATACAGTATGGTCTCATTTATAAGTGGAATATAGAGAAACATAACTGAGGGTCAGTCAGGACCAAACCAATAATAAACTCAACATCTCACTGCAAAACTGAGTGAGGTCATGTGTGTGTCCGGGGGTGGGGGTGGGATGTGTGGGGGTGGGGAAATGTGGCAGCAGTGGGATTTGGGGGGTAAGGGGGAGGTAACCAATGGAGCAGAGTGGAGAGTTGTTAGGGCTCTGTTGGTGGGCATGGCATGAAAGTATACATATGTAAAGATTTGAATCTATAAATCCCAGAGCAACAACCTGTAACCTACTTCACCCCAATAAACAAAATTCAGAAAGAAAAAGATAAAAAACATCCTCTCCAATCTCTTTTGTAGATCCTGTGACAAAGACCAGAGTCATGCAATAGTTCCCTTCACAGCAGCCACAGGGCCTACTATGAATGGGGTTTGGTCAATCCCACTCCCCTACATAAATGTTTTAATGAGCTCCTGTTACTCAAAGTTCAAAATCTTATACATGAACTTCAAAACTTCGCCCAGCCTGCCCCTGCTCCATTCCCTGCACCCTTCTCCTTCCTCTGCCCTGGCACCATGCCAGCCTGCTTCCAGTGTAATTGTCTCCATGCCACTCTAGATCACAACCACACACTGATGCAGGCCAACAGGGGACACTAACTGGCCAAGGCCACTCTGCCCAAGTACTTCACTGGTTGGTGTTTAGGTTCTCGCCCAAGTGCACAATTGCAAGGCTAATCAGGCTTAGAGAATAACAACAAAGGGATTTATTTAATAAGCCAGGAAAACTAGCATTGCTGAGGCCAATAATGGCTGTTTACGCCAAGCCGTGTCCAGTACTGTCCAAAGACCATTATAATGGCGTCTTTCACCACTGAGGATGGGCAACTCCTCTCCTGACCAATAGGCCACGTGTCTAAGGCAGCATCTTTCTGCCAGCAGCAGCCAAACTTTAGGACAGGATCTGATTCACAAACACAGCAAAGGATACAGCAGGAGATGCCCCTTAGACTGCCAGCTCAGCACCAAACAAGCAATCCTCGAGACAACAGCTGCAGCAGCCAAATGATCCAACAAATGGTGACACTCACGCGTTTTAGCAAGATGCCTGGCTCGGGGTGGTCTTTCTCTCCAGGACACGCTTTGTTAAGATGCCTGGCTCTTCAGGTCTCCCTTCTCTCCACCAGGCCTAACAAAACTTTCCTAAAGTGACTAACCAGACAAGGCCGTACTCAACAGCCTCTGCCCTGTAGCCCCGGCCCACAAAGCCCAGATCCTCAAAGCCCTCGTGGAGCTGTCTAGGGCCTCTAGACATTATTGGCCTCTGCTGCCATCGCAAGGCTGCACTGCTGTGGCCACCGTTATCTCGTGCACATATGCACAGCCTCTTCTCTCCTGTGACCCGAGTTCCATCTCACACATGCATGCATGGAGCTCCCTAATATACCTTTTTCATTGTCTCACCTCACTTTTAGCACCTTTCTGGGGTGCTATAATTTTTTTTTTTTTTTACCAGCAACCCCTCCAGAGGACACCACCAGTAACAATTTACGGTTGCAGCACTGGTCAGCTACCAGTAACAACATGACCCTATTTCCCATCTGGCAAACACTCCTTCTCTCATTGTGTGGATGTGTGTTTGCCCACCAGACCCGAAGCAGTCACCCACTATTTATGGCCTGATTGCACTTACAACAGCAGAATTGTTGCCGTGGTGATAAATGTTGCTGTCAAAAATAGTGGCCTTTATCTGATAGGGTATATTGAGTTGATGCTCCAATTGATAGCTCCCTCCGAGGAAGAGGCCTACTGCTTTGAAGGCCTTGGGTGTTCACGCATGCCTCACCTGATGAGCTGCTGAGATAGATGAGGAAATGCGATAAAGTGCCTGGCAGAGCACGTCATGGGAGGGAGGGGCAGTCCACACTTACTTCAGTGGTATTTCTCTCAGGAAGGTAGTTGTGAGTCTGCTCAGCTAACACCCTAGTGGACTGGGTTCCTGTTAAAGAAGCCCTTTGGGGTGTGGGGTAGGAGTGCATAAACCAAAAGCAAGACAAAAGTAAAGTAATGATGGTCTGCAGAACCCATGAGATGAGAGATAATTCAGCCTCTGGTGTAGTGTAAATTTGGGGTGCAGAAGCAAAGCTTTGGGAAGAGTTGAGTTCCACTTTGTCTCTCCTATACCTCAGACCCTCATGCTCCCAGGAGGCTTCCCCATAAGCCCTCTCTGCTCTTCAAGAATCTGCCCCTTCTTCACCTTCTATCTTTTCCACTGTTTCAGGAGTCCTCTTCAAGGAGTTCTGATCTCCAGTGTCTGTGTGCTTGTCTATCAGAAGCCACAGGATGGGATTCTCCAGAGCTCCTAAGAAAGACTTCTCCTGCTCCCCCAAACCACCCTTCTCCCAGAGAACCCTCATTTCTCACCTCCTCCTCACATGTTTTACAGAGAAAGTCCCCCAGGTTTTACTGGAAATCCTATTTCTGTGCTAGTAGACAGAGGGGAAGAGAGGGTGACCCCATCCCCAAACACTCACATGTACAGACCACAGTTCTCAGAACTATTTTTGCCCTCAAATTCAGTTCTTATAATCTGTTGTTAAATATATAATAATTTCACAGACTTATGTAATATATTCACAAATTTTTAAAAATTGATCAGGCAGTGAAGTTCTTTTTTTCCAATTTTTGAAATCAACACTCCCATGCCTAAAATATTTTTGGTGTTGCTTTCCACAGGCATACATAACTTACAAAGTTCATCAGTGCCTAGTACTTTGAATTGTTCTCTTATTTCTTAAAAATAAAGCTAGACAGCTTACCAGTTCCCATATTCTGAACACTTTTGTCACTTAAAATTTTATAATTATTGACAGATGCTTTTCAGGCTTACCTATTTTGTCTTTTCTCTCTCTATGCACATATAAAATGAAAACATAAATGAAATAAATTGGTTAAGGTATACCACCTGAATTCCTGGATAACAATATTGAATCAATACCATCCTGATTCAAAAATGTTGGGGGGGGGAAATACAAGAATTAATTATGGAGAACACACCCCTTTGCTGTGAAGAACCATCCCCATACCTGTTATTAGACTTCTTGTTGTACCTCCCAGGTCCACTTTCCTGCTTGCCCCTATAAATATCCACTATCCCAAATATGTATTTTAGCAAATTCATACCCCCAAACATACTGTTTGATTGTAATTTTGAACTGTTCTACAGCAGGCTTGCTTTTATCAATCAATGTAGTATGAGATTTACCCATGGGAACCTCTATTCATTTAACTGCAAGCTTACCTCACCATCTATCAGTTCTGTTTGATGGAGCTTTCCAGAGCTTCATTATTAACCTGGCAAGTGTGAGTATGTCTCAGGGTTTATACCAGGAAGGAGAATGGTTAAGATTAGTCAGGGGTGTAGACACATTCTTCCTGTAGAGGGTCAGGTAGTAAATGCTGTAGACTGCAGACTACACCATCTCTGTGGCAACTACTCAAATCTCTCATTTTAATGAGAAAACAGCCAAAGACCACATGTAAATGAACGAGTAGGGCTATGTTCCAATAAAACTTTATTTACAACGCTAGGCAGCCACAAAGATGTGACCGGCAGGCAGTCCACTGCTGATTAGATGATAAACCTCTCTGTTCTGATTGCCTACAAATGCTTTTGCACTCCCTCTTCCCGCCTGATTGCCCCAAAGGCACATGAATCCTATCTTTGCTTAGTCTGTGGAGTGGACTAAATCTCCCTGTGCAGAGCCTCCAGTGAGAAGAGGAAGAGGGGGTGGTGATGCAGAAAGGGGTCGTACACTCATACTGGCTCTGCAGAGCATGGATGGGAGGTGAGGGCTCTGCACCGGGTCTTCTACTGTGGTATAAGTCACATCATACTAGCCACTGTGAAGTCATTACCAATGGATTTAGAAACAAACAGAAGACAGCATTTCTTTTGACATCGGTTGCTTCTTTTATTAAAGAAAGTTGGAATTTACTCTGTAGGGATACTTCCCCGAGGCTGGGTCTCCACGGCGGCTTCCTGCCCGGCTGCGGTTTAAGTGGATTTGGCTTCTATGTATATGGTCTCTGTCACCTCAGATGTCACAGTCCCACTAATCTCCAGGTCCGAGCGATCGGGAGATTTCTCCAACTTGGCTTCGATGTTGTGCTTCTCCACCGACGTGGCCACGATGTCCACTCCTCTGTCCTGTGTGAGTAATGGCTTTGAACCCGGAATGACCTTGAAACTCCGGAAGAAAGAGCCGATCTTACTGGATTTCTTGCTGAGAGTAGCAGAGTTGGTGCCCGACCGGCTCTTGGCCACCTTAGGTGCTGTCCTGGCCTCCTTGCCGGTGGAGCTGTGGCTGGAGCTTTTGTGGGAGCTGCGGCCCCGCCCCCGGCTGCTCTGCCCTTTGTCCTTTTTATTGTCTTTAGAGCCCCCGTGGCCGGACACCGAGCGGTGGGAGGATGACTTCCGGGTGGACTTGTCCGACCGGTGGTGAGCTTCCCCAGACCGGTGGTGAGCTTCCCCAGTCCTGTGGTGAGCTTCCCCAGTCCGGTGGTGGCGGGAACTCTTCCTGGAGGAAGTTCTGTCTTTCTTTTCTCTTCTTTCCTTCCTCTCTTTGCGGTTGCTGGCGCCGGGCTGGCTGACCTTCTGGCTGCCGTCGCGCTCGCTCATGTAGCCTTCGCTCTTCAGCGTGGACACCAGGGGCGCTGGGGACTGGGTTCGCTCGGTGGAGGGTGATTGCGCCGTGATCGCGCCAGCGAACACCACGCTCATGCTGCTGAGCCGGGACGGGCTGACGGTGCCGGGCGTGCCGGTGGACACGCCCACCGAGGTCGTGCTGGCTGAGCCGGCCGGGGCAGCGCTGGTGCTCTCGGAAGACATGTTGGCAGCAACAGCTATCATCTTGCCAGAGCCGCTTTCTCCCGGGGCCTTGGTGGCGGCTCCGGCCAGGGCCGCGCTCCCGGGGCTCGGGCCCGGGCCCCCAAACTTTGTGGCGGCGATGCTCGCAGCGCCCCCGGCCGGGCTCGAACGGGTCCCGGCGACAGTCATTCCCCCGGCCGGGCTCGAACGGGTCCCGGCGACAGCTAGGCCCCCGGCCGGGCTCGAACGAGTCCCAGCGACGGCCACGCCCCCGTCCGGGCAGGAACCGGTTCCGGCGACGGCCAGACCCCCGGCTGGGCTCGTGCGGGTCCCGGCGACGGCCACGCCCCCGGCCGGAGCAGAGCCGGTTCCCGAGACAGCCAGGCCCCCCGCTGGGCTCGAGCGGGTCCCGGCGACGGCCACGCCCCCATCTGAGCTTGAACCGGTTCCAGCGACCGCCAGGCCTCCAGCCGAACTGCTCCCGGCTAAGGACAAGCTTGCAGCTCTGCGTGCATTTAGTGGGGTTTTCGGGCTGACGGATGTTCCACCACGAGGGGCATGCTGGATTCCCTCTCCCCCAGCATAAGCAGAAGAGGAGATTCCAGACACGTCTCTAAGTTTGTGAAACACAGTCTCTGGCCTTTCTCCACGGGACCCTGGGCTCTGGGTCAAGGAAGGAGAAACAGGTGAGACAGAAATGACAAAGTGAGATCCACTGACTGCTCCTCTTTCATCCATCCAGGAGCTGAGTGATTCAACGAGGGTGGGGTGAAGGGAGGACGACTAAAAGTAGCTTTGAAATTAACCTAAGCTCCTATTGGATTGGGTGGCCCTTTCTATGAGGGGGGGGGTTGCTTTCTATGGTGGGGGCGCATCCCTGGATAGATACGATTCCCCATCCTCATATATTTTATTTCCCCATCCTCATACATTTTATTTAACACACTTGTGCTTATATCCCTCAGAACAGATTCCTAGAAGTAGGGTTGGTGGATCAAAGTATCCACATATTTGCCATTGGGTGGGAGGGGCCTATGGAAAGGAGTTGTACTTATGCAGACACAGGGAATTTGTGCTGCTTTAATCAGCACAGGGTAATCACTGGGACACAGAAGGAAGGATTCCTGATTGTTGACAATGTTCTACAGCCAATGTGGCTACCTGGATTGAGGGGAGAGTTCTAGAAGGGACTGGACCATAAGGATACGGTACTGAAAACCCTGGTCATCAGCCGAGGCACTTAAGGTGCCTCTGATGGTCTCTAAAACTTGGCACTGGTGGGACAATTTGGAGAAGCACTCAGAACACACGCCCCGCCCCCCACCC